CTCGCTCAAACGAGGGCTCTTTATATCGGGCTTCTCGGTTTGATTTTAACACTCTTTACTCACGTCTTATGCTCGAGGAGGTCTACTCCACCGACACGGCCTCGAGTTTAACACATAACTTTGAATCATCTTCCCCTAATCGAGTCGCTGCTTCGTCAGGCTCCCAAGAACTACGGGCGTTGCCAAACTTGTCGCCGAAAGCAGAAACACTTTTTCGCGGACGACCCTCTCATATCAGCGACAGTCTGAGCCCCCAGAAGACACGGCCTAAGCATTTCACTTCCATTACGGCTTCGCATGCCTCCTTGGCGACTGAGAATAATAATCGTTGCATGGACGCCCAGGTTGTCAGACAGAAGGCCAACACAACCAGTTGCTTGATGTCCGGCTCTTCACCGAAACAGGCTCGAGCTGCTCACACGTCTCGCTGGCCAGGCAGGCTTGCTTCTACACAGGCCGTTCAAGGAGTATGGCCTTCTACGCCCGAACTCGAGATGCTTAATCGAAAATCCAGGTCGTCTACTTCGGGTTCCTTCTTCGACGCCGGTCGAGGCCAGCTTCCCGAACAGGTGTGGGACAAGTACGCACACGTCTTCAATCCAACAATTGGGCAGATACTTTATGTCAAGGTTAGACTGGATTTCTTTTATTCGTTTTTCTACATCCTATTGAACGTTACTAACTGCAGTAGTTCATCTGCTTTGTAAATGCTTTCATTTATGCGGTATTCTGTAATCTTTATTTTTGCTTATAATTATGTTTTCAAGACTACTAGTAGAGCATATATTCACCCTATTTCCTTTAAGGTGATCAAGAATTGGTAGTTGAATTTTTTCGCAATAATATGTGCAGGCTTCACGTTACCAAGGGGTATTAGCATCAATGCTGGGCTGCAATATCGACCTCTCATTTAATGTGATATGGGGTATGGTAGTCTCAAAAACCTACTTATAAACAAAAAATAAGTAAAGGTATGAAGTCCAAGATGGTGTGGCCTTTTTGTGGTCGAAGTTTCTTTTCGTTGGTTAGAAGTTGTTTGACCTTGTTTTTGCAACTTACTCATATTGGTAGGAAGACTTAATATATGAGATATAATATGAGATGTATTCAACTTATTTCGTTTAAGGGAACTAAGGACTGTTAGTTGAGTCTTCCCACAATTATGTTAGTAGAGCGTGTGTTGGGCGTTTGGTTAGAGTGTCGAGATCCTTCGCTGTACTGTCATGGTTCGAGTCCCGAGGAAAGTATTGATAAGATCTAGACGAGGTCAAAACGATAGTCCACTCTGGTCTGGATGAGAATATCTTGTTGGAAAGCAAGGCTTTGTGAAATCCAATTAAAACTTATGGTTTACTTATATAATTTTGGAAAAATTCGACAACCAGTCCGCGTATAACTTTAAACGAAATAGGGTGAATACAATTCATATAAGTGAAATCAATCCTCTTAACTAATACTGAGTTCTGGTTACCTTGAGTCACATAAGGCGTTGAGGGACTAATACTTGAACGTTCTAGCAATGCCATTGATAGGCCTATGTATAACATGTACCAGACAACAGTGATGAGAACCAATTCCTCAACCAAATAACAGAAAATAGTTACTTGTAACTCTGTCCTAAGGTTGACGCTGCTCCTTGTTGCTTTCAACTACGTGGCCCACGAAGCTTCTGGGAATTTATCCAGTACACGGTCCGATATTGGAAGGAAAA